GACAGTTTGAATATATGCCACTGAAACAATGGACTTACGATCATTTTCACACTTATGACCTTTGAGGCATCCCCATGGTGATTTATATTCAGATTCTTGACAACAGACTCCTATTTATGGCGGCTGGAGGGCCCTCCCCTCCGGGTCACGTGATCCCCTTTTGTGACCATCTCACAAGCAAAGTCCATGGGGTGGCAAAGATTCACTTAACGACCATCTGACTAACGTTAACAATCGCCGTGATTCGCTTAACAAATATGGCAAGAAAGGTTGTAAAAATGAGGCGTGACTCAACAAATTTCTCACTCAGCAACCTAAATTCTGGGCTCAGTTTTAGTCGTAAGGCGAGGACTACCTGTAAGTTTATTTTTTTCAGGCTGTAATTTTTTTTTTTTTAGGGGAGCCTGTATGAATCACACGGCTGAACTGCGCTGCTCATTTTGTTGAATTTTCAAAGCATTCTTTTTCTCTGAAATACAATTTTGATTCTTCCTAGGTGGAAACAGGACTATTATTGAAATATTTATTTATTTATTGCCTCTCATACCTGACTGATATTTAAAAACTGGAATTTAACCTCAGAAAATAATCTTTACAGCTTGATTTAGAGTCATCCCGTCCTACTCAGTCGCCTTTATCTTCTGTCTAATTTTTTTTAGTGATTTTTTATTGATTCTCTCAAAGACTTCGACCTATTGGAGTGGGATAAAAATTATGTAGCAAAATTTGGGTAGGTTTTTATAGCATTCATCTCAGGGTGCTCCTATTACGTTTAAGAAGCGCTTTTGTTCTAATCAAAACAAATTATAATACTTCGTTAACAGCTTAGCAAATAAGCTTTAGGCAGTAATTTAAAAATAATTGCCAATGCGCAACATCAGTGGATCCCTCCAAGACATCATAATTAAGAATCTTTTTAGTCTGTGCATGTGTCACATTTGGAAGACTTATAACTTCTGTTAGTTGAGAGAAAGACGTAATAACTTTGGACAAAATCCCATCTCCATCTAACCTTTGGTTTGAGGTGTGTCCTAGTCAGATGCTGCCAGAAAGTTCACAGAGAAAATCTTTTCCCAACCTCTAAACAGCTGGAAACATCCTGCTGTTGAATGTGGAGATCCTGTTGCTGTTACACCACATGTTCCAATTTATATAATTTGAAAGCAGTTTACGTGTAATAACTTGTTTCTAGTGCAAGATATACTATAGTGGATTTAAAGCGCCTAACCCATTTTATGCCCAGGACAACAAACAAACAATAAAAAGATATCCACGCTAAAGTCTTGTCTGCTAGCGCTTAATCTAGTTGATGAGCTGCAAGAAGGAACAAAGAAGAAATCCTAGTGCTAATTATTGTGTTAAATTAGAAGTGTGCGTAGGAAGGGGAATTGCCAGAAATCAAAAGCCGTAAATTGAGGGTCACTGATCCTGAAAACCTGGTCGCTTATTATTTATGCTGCCTTCCTTACAAAAGGTTCCTTAAACATGCCAGCAAGCAGGGATTTGTTACCAAAGTAAATTATGAGGAATGTTAAATTCCTTTCCCCTGAAGTTTGCAGTTTTTGCTGTACTGTATAGTGTCCTAAACCGCATTAATGTAAGCCCCATTTATGTTCCAGGAGAAGAGACAGCCTTTGAAGTTTCCTACTCCTTGGTGGTTCTTTCTGCCGGCGGCCTCTTAGTTTTGATACTACTGCTTGTAAACTGTATTTCCTGCTGTAAAGATCAAGAGATTAACTTCAAGGTGAGTGGTATCAAGAAATCCTTTTGTTCATTGTGCANGCTGCACCTGGGCAGAACTGGAAGGGTGGAATCTGTCTTTGTGGCAGTGGGAGATTGGACCATGTGATGGACTTGTGGGTGTGGGGGGCAAGATCTTGAACTGGGTGGGGAAAACCTGGAAGCTTTCAGATTCGGGTTTTCCCAAATGTGCCAAGATGGCTCTCTTAATAAATTGGAAATTTGAGCAATACTTTGCCTTGGACTCTGATTTAATTTGGGATGCTATTTGGAACCCTGACACCAGAAAGTTCAGTGGCCTCCTGAAAAAGCACCTTTGGGACAACCATGACCTGGATGACTGAGAACCTCCTTAGACTTCTGGCATCTTAATGTTTAGCTCCATGAAGGTCAAAGCCATCATTTTGAAGGAAGTCTTGAAGGAGAGCCCCTTCGATGTCTCCTTTTTTTTTTGAGTCAAACTCCATAAGCCGATTTTGAACAAGCGATGGCAAGCATCCTCATGGCTTTCCACCCAAGCCATCGGGATGAGATTGCAGCAGGACAAAAATGTCTTTCTACCAGTAGTCAGGAAAGTAACCAAGATGAAGAAAGCAGAGTCCGCCTCAGGTTCGGGCACGCTCGCTTAAAAATTAATTTACATTCATGACTTTTCTTATGCTTCGGGATGACTTCTAGCACAAGGCCTGTATAAGCACGTCTCTTAGAGATCCTCAAGGCAGATATGCAGGTGGAAGTAGAGTTTAAAAAGTTGCTCTTGGATCTTTTTGGGGTGATCTCCAGCTAAACCCCCTTCCGAAGGGAGTTTTAGGCCCTTGTTCTCTCCTAGTTTTAAGGCGAGCATCTTAGCCACTCTCTCTGCTGTGATCATTCAATGCTACGGTTCTTCTGCTTTTGAGACTCCCACGTCCCTGCTGTCAAATCAGGAGTGTCGTTTTATTCTCGGTGAGGTTTCTTACACAGCATGGTGAGTGTGTCTGTCTCTGTTTGTATGGGTAGTCCTCGACTTATGGCCGCAATTGAGCCCCAGATTCCTGTTGCTAAGCGGAAGATCTTTTAAGTGAATTTTGCTCCGTTTTACTACTTTTCTTGCCACAGTTGCTAAGTGAATCCCTGCAGTTACTAAATTAGTAGCATGGTGGTTAATTGAATTTTCAAGGAGATTGGACTGCCATTCGTCAGAAATGGAGTAGGGCAGTGATGGCAAACTTTTTCGGCACCGTGTGCCCAAACTGAATGCCCGTGCATGCGCGCCAGAGCTCTGGAAACCAAAAGACCAGCTGGCCGGCAGGCACATGCCTGTTTTTGGGGGCGTTTTCAGGCCTTTTTCAGGCGCAAAAATGGCCTGGGAACAGCCCAAAAAAGGCCTATTTTGGGGGGCGTTTTCACGCCATTTTCCGGCGCTCCGGTGCCCACGAAGACCAGCTGCCAGAAACCAGAAGAGCAGCTGGCAATTGTCCATGTGCCCACAGAGAGGTCTCTGCGTGCCATCTTTGGCACTCATGCCATAGGCTCGCCATCACAGATGTAGGTTCTCCTGCTTGGGCGGTGGGGGGGGGGGTTTGAACTAGATCCAGGGTCACCAACCTTTCGGACCCCAGGGACTACTAAATTCATAATTTTAAATCCCGCGGGCCACTAATACGGATTTAAAAAAAAGATAAATAGTATTTAGTGCAAATGATTTTTCTGCGGACCACCAAAATTTTCTCACGGACCAGCAATTGGTGACCGCTGGACCAGATGACCTACAGGGTACCTTCGAACTCTGTTCATCTGCATCTGACACTGGCTTCCCCATTGATGTCGCTGGTCAGAAGGTCATAGAAGGGGATGACGTCACCTCAGGACGCTGCTGTGACCGTCAGGAACATGAGTCAGTTGCCAAGCATCCGAATTTTGATCACATGACCAAACGGCCGTAAGTGTGAAAAACAGCTGTTGTAACTTCGGACGGTCACTAAATGAACTGTTGTAAAACAAGGACCGCCTGTAGACTGTGAGCCTTTATGGCCAGTCTAAAGTGTAGATTTTCTTTCTTTTTTATCCCTGTCATAAAATGTGGAACCGGTTTTTGAATACATAATTTATTTTATTTTATTTTACTTTTTTTTTCATTTTACTGCATTGACATTCAGTATAGGTAGTCCTCGACTTACAACGGTTCACTTAGTGACAGTTTGAATATATGCCACTGAAACAATGGACTTACGATCATTTTTCACACTTATATGACCTTTGAGGCATCCCCATGGTGATTTNTTCCTGATAGGATTATCTGCAATGGAACTGCAGGTCTCTGGTTTCTCATTTAAAATTGCATCTACACAGTGAGAAAACTTGGTGTAAAAGGCAAGCATCTTTGAATTTAAAACGTTTTTATGCATGTAAAAATATTCCTTGAACTGGCTCCACCCATGTGGCTATACTAACGTCTCTCATCATATATCTCATTATATCAAAATAAGACATTGATAAAAGACCTAGTGGAAAGCCAAGTAAAAAGACAAAATGCCAAATCTTTGGAAACTTTAAGTGGTGTGGACTTCAACTCCCAGAATTCCCCAGCCAGCATGGAATTCTGGGAATTGAAGTCCACACAGCTTGAAGTTGCCACGGTAGAGAAACATTGATCTAGAGTTTTGTCTGGCATCCCTTATCAACTCAGCTCCAAAGAATATCCCCACTTGACACTGCTTTTCTTCTCCTCTCTCAAGATTCTTCCTCCAGAAGTTTCAGCCCGGGGCTCGCTTGTTAACAGCGACAGAAATGGAAAAATTCATGGCGGCAGGAGACCGCGATAGAGATGGGAAGGTTGGGGCTGAAGGTATGAGTTGCTTGACTCGGATTCATTCGGGCACACAATTTGTTGTTGACTATAAATTTTGTGCAAGTCAACCATGATCTCCATCAAGAGTTTAGAACTTCTGGATAGGAAAGTGGTACAGTATCTCTACTTCAACTCTTCTATTGGAGAGTTTTTCCCCCACTCAAAAACCTTCCAACTGCTTCTCCTTTTATTACAGAATTCCAGGAGATGGTACAGTCTTAAAGAAGATCAGAAGTGGCTTGGTTGATGGAAGAACTTCTGCTGCCCCAAAAGAGTTCTCTTGAAACTTCCAAACCCAAGGATTCTTTGTTATGCTTTGCCTCCTATTCAGTGGTGTGCTACTACGGGTAGTCCTCAAGATACGACTGTAATGGAGCCTGACATAACAGGTTGTGACAGTTGTTAGTTGAAGCTGACTCCATATCCCTGCTCTGGTCCTCCCAAGCGCCCCCCCATTGCCCCCATGTCATTCCATGCTCCCACTTCCCAACTCTTGGGTCTCCATGGAGTGGGATGAAGGCGAGAGAGGCAGGGGATAGGCAGCATCCCTGTGGTTGGTCATAAGGATGAATGACCACAGAGGCATTGCAGCCGTTGTAACTTTGAAACAGGTTTGTATGTCATTTGGGACCCTCTGTTGTACCTTTGAACATGTCGTATCTCGAGGACTTCCTGTCCAATTTCCAAATGGTAATTCACTCAAGCTACCGAATAAAGATAATTTCAGAGTCTCTGTGGTACAACAGACAGATGTCTCTCTTTGAATAGCGGCATCAACAGTTCAAAACGGATCGAAACTCACTTAACCACTGCTTTGCTTAGCCACAGAACTCATTTATGATCATTAGGTGGAAGATTACTGTAGATGCGAGTCCATGTATTGTAAGCAAATCCGGGAAGCGGTAAATAACCAATGAATGAAACTGTAATCTCCTTCTGCAAACAGTATAAAAATCTGATCTAAACCTATCTTTCGCGTTTGAAATTGTCAGCAGCGACAATTTTGCTTTTGCACAGAAATAAACGTGTTTGAATTCCACTTTCCTCGACTCTGTTCTTTTTTTAAAATATATTTTATTGAAGCTTTATCGAAGTCCCATCAACAATGCAAATTACAAATGAAAACTAAGATAGTAAGGAAACGGGGCAATGCTGGTCTGCTGGATCTCTGCTAGTTGGTGTTGAACCTAAAAGGCAGAAGCCATAGTTTGTAGCGCATCATCAACTCCTATTATTGCAAAGACGGTTAAATTTAACTTCCTTGATTGTAGGAAAGGGTTTGTTTATTTATTTATTGTTGACTGGAAACCCCTTATAAACTTTCTGCATGAAATAGGGGGAAAATGCATTATTGTGACTGATGAATATATGTAAAAAATGATAAAAGCTAAAAAATAAGCTTTTAAAATAATTTCATAAATTCTGCAACCGTACTTGCTGCAGAGGAAATTGGAAGTTTTCTTCCTCGAAATGCTTTTGCTTCTTTTTCTTTTCTTCCTTCGTTTTCTTTCTTCCTCTTTTTCTTCTTTCTTCCTTCCACCTTTCCTTCCTAACTTTTTCTTTCCTCCTCCCTCCCTTTCTCTTTTTCTTTCCTCCTCCCTCCCTTTCTCTTTTTTCTTCTTCCTTCCTTTTTCTTTTTCTTTCCTACTTGCTTCTTCCCTCCCTCCCTTTCTCTCATTTTTCTTCTTCCTTCCTTCCTTTTTCTTTCCTCCTTGCTTCCTCCCTCCCTTCCTTCCTTTCTCTTTTTTCTTCCTTCCTCCCTCCTTTCTTTTTTTCTTCCTTCCTTCCTTCTTTCTTTTTTCTTCTTCCTTCCTTTTTTCTTTCTTTCTTCCTTCCTCCTTTCCTCCTCTTCTTCCTTCCTTCCTTTTTCTTTCCTCCTTGCTTCCTCCCTCCCTTCCTTCCTTTCTCTTTTTTCTTCCTTCCTCCCTCCTTTCTTTTTTTCTTCCTTCCTTCCTTCTTTCTTTTTTCTTCTTCCTTCCTTTTTTCTTTCTTTCTTCCTTCCTCCTTTCCTCCTCTTCTTCCTTCCTTCCTTTTTTCTTTCTTTCTTCCTTCCTCCTTTCCTCCTCTTCTTCCTTC